GTGAAGGCAGTTCTAAACCATAACGACGGTATTTGTGAGGGTCCATCACGCAGGGCGGATCTGTACAAGATGAGCAGAAAATACTGGTTAGTTCTTGCTTTGGGATGCTTTTTTCCCTTTCAGTTTCTGTTACTCTCATGACTGAGGGTGTTCCCATCCAAGCTGGAGGATGAGTTCAAAATTCTAGCTCTTCACTATGCAGGACCTTTAAAAGTAACTGAAGACTAGCTTCATTAGGAGTGATGACAACACATAATAAAATTAATCTAACCCAGTAAAAATATACTTTTGGTTTTAGACCAATTCATGTGTGAGCCAAAGCAGAAGGCAGCCTTCACCTGTTGCGGTGGAAGGTTTGAACTGAAATCTTCCAGAGATATAAAACAGTTTCTGCTTTTCTTTGCCAGAGCTGTTAAATGTATGATACAATTTGATTTCATATCTAATTTGATTGCACATATTTGTTCCTACTTTTACCTGTACAGGCAGGTATTTGTGACCATGTGCCGTTGCTGTGACACACCACAACCTCTGCACCCTCTACTTTGTATGGCGGGCTGCACTGGTACCTTAAAAAATGCATTCCAACTTGTTCAAAGACACTATATTAAGCATTCTGTGTTAGCTAGTAATTTTCATCCACAAAAAACACAAACAAAAAGTGTTAGGTGTGTCTTGAAAAATGTGAATTTAACTGAATTTAACTGTATAAATTTACTGCACCCCCCATCTCTATATATAGATATAAATATCTCTATATATGATATATATGTATGTATGTATACATATATATATATATAGGTATAAATATCTCTTTATGATATATATATATATATGTATTTATATCTATCTATGATTTGAACTTCACTATCTTTATATTATATCAGGAAAGGCTGAATTAGTTGTTCTTGTGTTAAGTCCTGCTTTCAAAGAGCAACAAGTGCCTTTGTAAAGTGGTGAGAAGGGAAAAAGTATTGATCTGTTTTGTTCCAGAAGGTTACAGTTTGTGGACATGTTCAGCTTTTGTTCTTAGTCTGTCATCGTACCCCGAATCCAACAGGTATTCTGGTAAGAAAAATACAAAACCAAAAATACGTTTAATGAGCATTAAACATCTTTGAATTAAGAGTGAGATGTAACTACAAATAGAGATGATTTAACATCCCAAATTGAATATATGCAGTGATGAGATCATTACCGTAGAGCTGGAACACTCACCGTGTTGATTTGAACCATGTTACAACCTGTGAAAAATCATTTGGAAGCAGAGAGAATGTTAATGACTGAAGCAAATGGGTCCGTTTCTTAAACCTCTGTGGGTTTCTGTGGTGGTGTTCAGTTAAGATGTTCTGAGGTTTTGAATGACTCTTCATGTCATTACTGAGGTCCAAACAAGTTTAGCTTCCAGTTGTTTTCACAGATTCCCAGTTACAATGCTGGGTTTTACAATGATCACAAAATCTGGGGGCTTCTCAGCTGTCAAACATTTTAACCTGATCATCTGGAAGAGCTTTCCTTTATTTCCCTGTTCTGTAAACTTATCGATTCACAGTATTCAATAAGATGACATCAAATTGTTTTAAATCATCAACAGTTTAAAGGTTTTAATCTGTTAAAAAATACGTCTGTCATGTCCAATTGACTTTAAACAGTGATGAAATCTTCATAATCTGACTTATAAGCACCTTTAAAATGAAAGTCTTACTTACATTTGGATATATTCAGCTTTCCATCGCTCCATTTGCGATAAAAGCAACTCCAGTACTTTTTAAGTCATCATAATTAGTTGTGTTCACA